AAGCTTGTTGTCACAGGGGCACTGCCCCCCCCCCCCCCCCCCCCCCCCGCCCCCCCCCCCAGAACCGCTAGTGAGTTGCCGCGATGTCACATGTCCTACTTATATTACACTCGGAACAATTTACGCATTACGAAACTTCTATTCGATTAAATAATCCTCACGTAGCAAATAAACTATCATTTTTTGCTGTTGACCAAATTCGACACTCATTGACCTCCATACAAACACTCCTTGCTTGGTGGGCGAAAAAACACCGAGTTGGGCCTCTCTTCCAGCAAGATAACACAATGGAAACGCCTAAACTCAGAATGCAACACTGCTTATTGCCACACGATGACAGTATAGTTACCACACACCAGGGGATGGCAACTATACTGAACAAAAATATAAACGCAACATGTAAAGTGTTGGTCCCATGTTTCATAAACTGAAATAAAATATCCCAGAATTTTTCCATACACACAAGAAGCTTATTTCTATCAAATGTTGTGCCCAAATGTCTTTATAATAATAATAATAATATGCCATTTAGCAGACGCTTTTATCCAAAGCGACTTACAGTCATGTGTGCATACATTTTTATGTATGTCCCGTGGATCGAACCCACTACCCTGGAGTTACAAGCGCCATGCTCTACCAATTGAGCTACAGAGGACCACATCCCTGTTAGTGAACATTTTTATTTTGCCAAGATAATCCATCCACCTGACAGGTGTGGTATATCAATAAGCTGATTAAACATCATGATCATTGCACAGGTGCACCTTGTGCTGGGGACAATAAAAGGCCACTCTAAAATGTGCAGTTTTGTCACGCAACACAATGCCACAGATGTCTCAAGTTTAGAGAGCGTGCAATTGGCTTGCTGACTGCAGGAATGTCCACCAGAGCTGTTGCCAGAGAATTGAATGTTAATTTCTCTAACATAAGCCAATTGCAATGCAGTTTTAGAGAATTTGGCAGTACGTCCAACCGGCCTCACAACCGCAGACCACGTGTAACCACGCCAGCCCAGGACCTCCATATCCGGCTTCTTCACCTGCGGGATCGTCTGAGACCAGCCACCCAGACAGCTGATGGAACTGAGGAGTATTTCTGTCTGTAATAAAGCCCTTTTGTGGGGAAAAACTCATTCTGATTGGCTGGGCCTGGCTCCCCAGTGGGTGGGCCTGGCTTCCAAGCGGGGTGGGCTTATGCCCTCCCAGGTCCACCCATGGCTGCACCCCTGCCCAGTCATATTAAATCCATAGATTAGGGCCACATTTATTTATTTAAATTGACTGATTTCCTTATAGGAACTGTAACTCAGTAAAATCTGTGAAATTGTTGCATGTTGCGTTTATATTTTTGTTCCGTATATATTCAGCAGCGGGACGATTTTTGTCGGGCAGATTATAATAATTTATACACTGCAAATATTATATTATTATATTATATTAACCTTTATTTAACTAGGCAAGTCAGTTAAGAACAAATTCTTATTTACAATGACGGCCTACCCTGGCCGAACCCGGACGACGCTGGGCTAATTGTGCTCAACTTAACCCAAAAATACATTGGATTTGAAAATAACAACAATTTCATACCTTGATTACATTGAGACACGATCACATATAGTAGCTTTCTTTTTTTATTCGTGGGAATACTTGAGAATAGATTTCCTCAATTAAATGTATTTTTAGCTGAATTCCTGGTGATTTTACAGGGTTTTTTTCACCGTTAAAAAAAAAAACTAAAAACTTTGAGGGGCCAAAGAAAATGACTCGAGGGCCGGTGCTGCCGACTCCTGCCATACACCATATTCATTAGGAGGGGAAAGGGGAAACAGTATCCCATTGGTATGGTATCCCATTCACTATATCATTTCTTTATTGGACCATGACCAACAAACTGTAGATTGTTATACATTTGTATATATTTCATGAACTTCAGAAAACTATTTAGCTGAGCCCCCATACAAAGGACAGATGTTCCATACAAAAAACGAAAACCATGAACAATCCTTTTTTATTAAGAGATGGTTGATGGTTAACTAAAAAGTAACACACATCTGGTCTGTGTGTGTGGAGACAGAGCCTTCAGAACACACATCTGGTCTGTGTGTGTGGAGACACAGAGCCTTCAGAAAGTACTCACACCCCTTGACTTTTTCCACATTTTGTTGTGTGACAAAGTGGGATTAAAATGGATTTGTCATTTTTTTGTCAACGATCTACACAAAATACTCTGTAATGTCAAAGTGGAAGAAATATTCAAACATTTGTAAAAAATATATATATATATATCTTGATTATTAACTCAGCCACTCAGGAACATTCGCTGTCTTCTTGGTAAGCAACTCCAGTGTATATTTGGCCTTGTGCTGTAGGTTATTGTCCTGCTGAAAGGTGAATTAATCTCCCAGTGTCTGGTGGAAAGCAGAATGAACCAGGTTTTCCTCTAGGATTTTTCCTGTGCTTCGCTCCATTCCGTTTCTTTTTCATCATGAAAAACTCCCCAGTCCTTAACGATTACAAGCATACCCATAGCATGATGCAGCCACCACCATGCGTGAAAATATGGAGAGTTATACTGTGTTCTACTGTGTTGTAATGTATTTAGGACAAAACGTTTATTGCTTTGCCACATTTTTTGCAATTTTACTTTAGTGCCTTGTTGCAAACAGGATGCATGTTTTGGAGTAGTTTTATTCTGTACAGGCTTCATTTGCACTCTGTCATTTAGGTTAGTATTGTGGAGTAACTACAATGTTGTTGATCCATCTTCAAATTTTTCTCCTATCACAGCCGTTAAACTCTGTAACTGTTTTAAAGTCACCACCATTGGCCTCATGGTGAAATCCCTGAGCAGTTTCCTTCCTCTCCGGCAGCTGAGTTAGGAAGGATGCCTGTACTTTCTATCCAAAGTGTAATTAATAACTTCACCATGCTCAAAGGAATATTCAATATCTGCTTTTCTTCATTTTTACCCATCTATCAATAGGTGCCCTTCTTTGCGAGGCATTGGAAAACATCCCTGGTCTTTGTGGTTGAATCTGTGTTTGAAATTCACTGCTCGACTGAGGGACCTTACAGATAATTGTATGTGTGGGGTACAGAGATGAGGAAGTCATTCAAACATCATGTTGAACACTATTATTGCACACAGAGTGAGCCCATTCAAATGATGACTTGTTAAGCACATTTTTACTCCTGAACTTACTCCTGAATTTGTAAACATTGAAGAAAACATAATACTTTCTGAAGTTTTCCAATACACAGAGTGTACAAAAAATTACAGACACCTTCCTAATATCGAGTTGCACCCCCTTTTGTCCACAGAACAGCCTCAATTCGTCGGGGCATGGACTCTACAAGGTGTTAAAAGCGTTCCACAGGGATGCTGGCCCATGTTGACTCCAATGCTTCCCACAGTTGTGTCAAGTTGGCTGGATGTCCTTTGGGTGGTGGACCATTCTTGATACACACAGGAAACTGTTGAGCATAAAAAAAAAAACAGCAGCGTTGCAGTTCTTGACACAAACCGGTGCACCTGGCACCTACTACCAAACCCTGTTCAAAGACACTTAAATGTTTTGTCTTGCCCATTCACCCTCTGAATGGCACACACACACAATCCATGTCTCAATTGTCTCAAGGCTTAAAAATCCTTCTTTAACCTGTCTCCTCCCCTTCATCTACACTGATTGAAGTGGATTTAACAGGTGACATCAATAAGGGATCATAGCTTTCACCTGGATTCACCTGGTCAGTCTGTCATGGAAAGAGCAGGTGTTCTTAATGTTTTGTACACTCAGTGTAGATGTGTGTGTAGAATATGTTCTATAGTGTTTGTAAACAATCTAAAAGAGTCAGAAATACAAAGACACGTATGAACATCATCCGTTTTATTTCCAAGAGTGAACACTGTATACAAAATGATTCTAGTCAGCTATTGCTACTCCTGCAGTCCACTCCTCAAAGCCTTGGTCCTACACTGCGTTGCCCAGCTCTCCCTTTTACATTCCTAAAATGTCTTCTGCCCTATTCAGCATCTTATACAGCCAGTCGTCCATAAACTTCAGCAACCATCAATTTAAAAAAAAAAGAAAAGATTATGATCACTATTGCATTTGATAATATACGGTGGCAGGACGTCTGTAATATATAACTAGAATCCATTCTATTTCTATGGTCTGCACCCTTCCTCAGCAAAACCAGGCACAGTAGCTACACCATTTAACTCTAAAATCATCCTAATATGACAAATTACTCCCAACAGAAGAGGAACCATTATTTGACTCTGGCAATATCTTGATTAAACTAGATATGACAGGAGGGGGGGTAGACCAGATGGAGAGAGCCAGTATGGTAATTAATATTATATTATACAACAGGTGGTTTGGAATCCCTATTGTTAGGGACTATCCTGCTGATTATATACACTAGACAACATACACATACAGCAAGTTTGCCGTCTTTTCAGCCTGTAGTGATTGCGTTAGCTGTGCAGTTGGCTAGCTAGCAACGGTGGAAGAGCCTCCATAGCAACCATTGTTGTTTGCCATAGCAAAGTTCTGGAACTATCAATCAGCGTTTTAGGTAGTTTTGCTTTCCATGTCAGTCAATACGAATAGAACTAACGGCCAGAGAACGCCTAAAAATTGCACTTGACAACCAGTGTTAGTGAATGTAGCATCACGCTTTGTTAAAAAAAAAGAAGAAGGGATGGTTTGGGAAAGACTCTTACTTTTTAATGCTGGTAACCCATCGTATAAAAGCAATAACACACTGGAGTCCATGTGTTATGACATTTTTATCATGGCTGTGGTGGTCTACACCACTCAGCTTAGCCTCGTGGCAGTCCACAAAAAGTCCTTTACAGTTGCCTCTGACTATCAAGGTTTTAGCTCAACATCCCCAAACGACAACACAGTATCCTGAGCCTTTACAGGATAACTTTTCCCTAGGTTCAGATCTAGGTTTAGCTACCCCTTTTCCCAATCCTAACCGTTAGTGGAGAAAAAAAAAAAACGCAAAACTGACCCATGCTCAGCATCTAGGGGGCAACGTCACCCTACACCGTCACTCACAGTCACACAGCTGTGATAAACGGGCCCATGGTGACATCTAGCAGAGCCAATACCCAAGCAGTAGTGGAGGGTGTTCATGGGTTTCAGTGGGCATACCTGCTTATACCCACTTCTTAATCCCCACGATGCTTATCAAAGTAGTGTAGGTATACGCCGTATCAATTCATTAAGGCTGATGGAACGTTTCATATATTATTTCTTTACATTTTAGGTGTTGTAATGTGCACACGGCCTACATGCAAATGTTTACAAATGGACTTTTTTTTCTTCTTTTTTTTTTTTTCGGGAAACCACCATTTAAAAAAATTCACATTTGATCATTCAGAGTGTATGTCACTGTTTCTCAGAGAGTTGCACACAGGGCTTCTTTCCTTCACTGGGAGGGCCGTTTGACAATTTTTTGCCAAAATTACAGTATACCCACTAAAATCAGGCACCACTGCACCCAAGGGAGAAAAGTGAACCCAAGTATTCTCTCATTTTTCGTCATACAAAAATCAGAGCAGTAAAACATTATTCGCATCAAAAAACAAAAAACGCTCACAGTGATATAGTGCAATTAATCATAAAAACACATCTTAAAAATGTCTTAATAAAACCGGGAAAAAAAATAAGTTTAAAAATCAAACGTTTCAGAAAGTGTTATAGCAGTGAAAGAGATTCTTTGTCAAACTTGATTCCTTGTCAGTGCAAAGAGAAGACTCATCGTCGTCTCAGACCCTCCCGTCTGGAGGCACAGCAAGCTGATTTGAGGTGTGTGTTCGTTCAGGAACATCCATCTAGTTGAAATGACACACGCTCTCCATTGCCATCAGGATACTGAGGAGGCAGACAAAATGACACGATTAGTCTATGGAAGCAGCTCAACGGAAATTAAATAAAGCTAAAATAAAACAATTTTATACCAAATATGACTGTGTTTTGTCAACTGTGCATTAGTGCAACTTTTGTATGTATTTAATAACTTGTCTTGACATTGATAGCGTTAAGGTAGAAGGTATGAGGAAGGAGATCTGTAGTCCAAATGGCACCCTATTCCCTATCGGAGGTACTGCATGGGGTCCATGGCCAGATCAATAAATATCAATATATTTATAGATCTGGCTATTAAAACACACACACACAGAGTGTACAAAACATTAAGAACACCAGCTCATTCCATGACAGGCTGACCAGGTGAAAACTATGATACCTTATTGATGTCACTTGTTAAATCCACTTAAAAAATAAAATCAGAGTAGATGAAGGGGAGGAGACAGGTTAAAGGAAGATTTTCAAGCCTTGAGACATGGATTGTGTATGTGTGACATTCAGATATTTAAGTGCATTTGAACGGGGTACACACACACACACACCTATCCAACTATATATACACATACACAAAGCGCGCTCAAAAAGTATTAGACAGTGACAAATGTTTTGTTGTTTTGGCTCTGTATTTCAGAACTTTGGATTTGAAATGATACAATGACTATGAGGTTAAAGTGCAGACCGTCAGCTTTAATTTGAGGGTATTTTCATCCATATCGGGTGAACCGTTTATAAATTACAGCACTTTCTGTACACAGTTAACCCATTTTAGGGGACCAGAAGTATTGGGACAGATTCACTTATATGTGTATTAAAGTAGTAAAAAGTTAAGTATTTGGTCCCATATTCCAAGCACGCAATGACTACATCAAGCTTGTGACTCTAGACATTTGTTGGATGCATTTTGCTGTTTGTTTTGGTTGTGTTTCAGATTATGTTGTGCCCAATAGAAATAAAATGGTGAATAATCTATTGTGTCATTTTGGAGTCGCTTTTATTATAAATAAGAATATCATGTTTCTAAACACTTCTACATTTAAAATGTGGACGCTACCATGGTTACGGATAGTCCTGAACGGATTGTGAATAATGTTGAGTGAGAAAGTTTGACGCACTAATATCATACCCCCCCCCAAAAAATGCTAACCTCCCCTGTTATTGTAATGGTGAGAGGTTAGCACGTCTTAGGGGTATGATATAAAATGCTAACCTCCCCTGTTATTGTAATGGCGAGAGGTTAGCACGTCTTGGGGGTATGCTATAAAATGCTAACCTCCCCTGTTATTGTAATGGCGAGAGGTTAGCATGTCTTAGGGGTATGATATAAAATGCTAATCTCCCCTGTTATTGTAATGGCGAGAGGTTAGCATGTCTTGGGGGTATGATATAAAATGCTAACCTCCCCTGTTATTGTAATGGCGAGAGGTTAGAACGTCTTGGGGGTATGATATAAAATGCTAACCTCCCCTGTTATTGTAATGGCGAGAGGTTAGCATGTCTTGGGGGGTATGATATAAAATGCTAACCTCCCCTGTTATTGTAATGGCGAGAGGTTAGAACGTCTTGGGGGTATGATATAAAATGCTAACCTCCCCTGTTATTGTAATGGCGAGAGGTTAGCATGTCTTGGGGGGTATGATATAAAATGCTAACCTCCCCTGTTATTGTAATGGCGAGAGGTTAGAACGTCTTGGGGGTATGATATAAAATGCTAACCTCCCCTGTTATTGTAATGGCGAGAGGTTAGCACGTCTTGGGGGTATGATATAAAATGCTAACCTCCCCTGTTATTGTAATGGCGAGAGGTTAGCACGTCTTGGGGGTATGATATAAAATGCTAACCTCCCCTGTTATTGTAATGGCGAGAGGTTAGCACGTCTTGGGGGTATGATATAAAATGCTAACCTCCCCTGTTATTGTAATGGCGAGAGGTTAGCACGTCTTGGGGGTATGATATAAAATGCTAACCTCCCCTGTTATTGTAATGGCGAGAGGTTAGCATGTCTTGGGGGTATGATATAAAATGCTAACCTCCCCTGTTATTGTAATGGCGAGAGGTTAGCATGTCTTGGGGGTATGCTATAAAATGCTAACCTTCCCTGTTATTGTAATGGCGAGAGGTTAGCATGTCTTGGGGGTATGATATAAAATGCTAACCTCCCCTGTTATTGTAATGGCGAGAGGTTAGCATGTCTTGGGGGTATGATATAAAACGCTAACCTCCCCTGTTATTGTAATGGCGAGAGGTTAGCACGTCTTAGGGGTATGATATAAAATGCTAACCTCCCCTGTTATTGTAATGGCGAGAGGTTAGCATGTCTTAGGGGTATGATATAAAATGCTAACCTCCCCTGTTATTGTAATGGCGAGAGGTTAGCACGTCTTAGGGGTATGATATTTGTGAGTCTAACTTTCTCGCTCATCATTATTCATCCAACAAGGTGTCCACATTACTCCACCAATTCTACATGAGACTGGTACATTACCTGTCTGTTGGGTATCCGCCCTCACACAGGTTGACCAGGGCATACAGGTGCCGCAGAGCGTATTCATACTGCAACACAATAACAAAACAACTTTTATATACTGTACTCTGATCCATCCTCATACTGCAACACAATAACAAGACACCACAACTTTTATGTGGTCCTCTGTAGCTCAGCTGGTAGAGCACGGCGCTTGTAACGCCAAGGTAGTGGGTTCGATCCCTGGGACCACCCATACACCCAAAAAAATAATAATGTATGCACGCATGACTGTAAGTCGCTTTGGATAAAAGCGTCTGCTAAATGGCATATTATTATTATATACTGTACTCTGATCCATCCTCATACTGCAACACAAGAACAAGACACCACAACATACAGTGGAATGTACATGCAAGTCATAATGTTCCTACTTCCCCCACATCTCCTGTCCAGAAGTCACTGTTGTGTCGGTCATACTTTGTAAAAGTTAGAAAAAGTCCCATGGTCATGTGAGGGAAAGGCCTAGTTTAAACAGTAAAAAACATCTAAAACCTGTAAAAGATGCTTTGATGGTTGTGAGTTGTTTTTATTTAGTGGAGTATTTCTGTTATTCAGTCTCTGAAGTATTTCTGTTATTCAGTCTCTGAAGCATTTCTGTTATTCAGTCTCTGAAGCATATGGGGTAACAGTCTGGGGAAAAGAAGTAGATCAACAGTTCCACCCATCAGAGACAGAAACCTACAGCACCACAATCAACTGACTAATGAATGTCAACTAGAGACAGTTGTCATCTTGGGACAAACCCTGAAATAAATGAAGGGGTTCCATTTGTTGCTCTAGGTTGAGTTCCTGTGAAGTGACAGACAGACAGGACTGTACCTGGGTGGTGAGACAGACAGACAGGACTGTACCTGGGTGGTGTGCCAGACAGACAGACAGGACTGTACCTGGGTGGTGCGCCAGACAGACAGACAGGACTGTACCTGGGTGGTGTGCCAGACAGACAGGACTGTACCTGGGTGGTGTGCCAGACAGACAGACAGGACTGTACCTGGGTGGTGTGCCAGACAGACAGACAGGACTGTACCTGGGTGGTGCGCCAGACAGACAGACAGGACTGTACCTGGGTGGTGCGCCAGACAGACAGACAGGACTGTACCTGGGTGGTGCACCAGACAGACAGGACTGTACCTGGGTGGTGCGCCAGACAGACAGACAGGACTGTACCTGGGTGGCGCGCCAGACAGACAGACAGGACTGTACCTGGGTGGCGAGACAGACAGACAGGACTGTACCTGGGTGGTGTGCCAGACAGACAGGACTGTACCTGGGTGGTGCGCCAGACAGACAGGACTGTACCTGGGTGGTGCGCCAGACAGACAGACAGGACTGTACCTGGGTGGTGCGCCAGACAGACAGACAGGACTGTACCTGGGTGGTGCGCCAGACAGACAGACAGGACTGTACCTGGGTGGTGAGACAGACAGACAGGACTGTACCTGGGTGGTGCGCCAGACAGACAGACAGGACTGTACCTGGGTGGTGCGCCAGACAGACAGGACTGTACCTGGGTGGTGCGCCAGACAGACAGGACTGTACCTGGGTGGTGCGCCAGACAGACAGGACTGTACCTGGGTGGTGCGCCAGACAGACAGGACTGTACCTGGGTGGTGTGCCAGACAGACAGGACTGTACCTGGGTGGTGTGCCAGACAGACAGGACTGTACCTGGGTGGTGTGCCAGTTGAAGCATTGTGTCTTGTAGTGTCCGACAGCAGCCTTGTAACACTGGTGCTGGGTCAGGTCCAGCTTGGCACTCAGAACCCTCTGGGTCACGGTCTCGTCTCCTGTCACCTTCTCTACCACCCGGCGCATCGTTTCTCCCAGCAGCTCACGCGCCTAGTGGAAAATCACAACAGTTCTCCAAGGTCCCCACTTTTATGAAATAACAGAAGCACCTTATGATAAAGTCTGGGTCATGTTCATTAGGCACGATCCGGAACAGAGCGAAATGGAGAGGTACCATCTGAACTTCACTGAGGAACACTTGTTTTCGGTTTCTCTTACGGTGTTCCCGAATGAATACATCCCAGGTTCATTAGGAAAAAAATAAAAAATACTATATACACATTACAAGAAAAAATTAAACGTAAACGCATTTCCTGTCCGTTACCTTGAGGTGTGAGTTGATCTGGCTGAGGTATTTCCTGGCTGCTGTGATGTCATTGGTGCTCATCAGTTTCCTCTTTAGGATGGCCAGGGGTACGTCAGGGCTGGGGGTCAAGTCTGGGTCCGCTACAGGCTGCAGGGTCATGGGAGGGGCAGGCTGGGCGTTGGCCTTGGCATTACCTTGGAAGGCCATCACCTTCATATGGGCCAGAGTCTGGAGAACAGATAGATACAGACAATTAACCTCCTCCTTCATACGGGCCAGTCTGGAGAACACACAAACATGTTACCGTCTCGTTCATTAACAGTCTATTGCAACAAATAAACATTGGCTATCTGAACAGAAGTGGAAATCGAGGTTTGTTAACTCTTTTAAAAAACAAACTTTTAGATCTAAATCTTGGTGGATAAACCATTTCCCAATAACATCATGTGATTCCTCATCTGAACAGGAATTAGCCAGGTCTTCGCTCTGAATCCCTCACCTTGTTTCCAAACTGCATGACGTGGCTGGTGTTGGTGTGGCTCTTCACCACCTTGAACTGTTTCATCAGGGTCTCCTTCCTCAGGTCCTCCTGGACAACAGTCAGGGAGAAACATAACATTGAGTTGCTAAGGACGTTCTGCCCCTTTTGAGCCAAACACATTGGAGAAACGGCTATATCCAAAAAGGTCCTTTTTTTTTTTTTGGAACAGAAATACAAAAATCAGTAAAGACTTGTGGTTTATCGAGGACATTGTTCAAAAACATTCTTGTTTACGTGTGTGTTTTCAGCTTTTTCTAAGGAATCAGAAGTCTCACATCATTCTTCCATCCAGTTAACATTGTACCAGTCTCACATCATTCTTCCATCCAGTTAACATTGTACCAGTCTCACATCAGTCTCCCATCCAGTTAACATTGTACCAGTCTCACATCAGTCTTCCATCCAGTTAACATTGTCCCAGTCTCACCACATCAGAGTCTTCCATCCAGTTAACACTGTACCAATCTCCCAGGTAGGTCTCTCTCTTCTCATCATAGTAGCAAGCATAAGACGACTCATGAGAGTTGGCTGCTGTGGTGGCATACACTGAAGGAGAGAGAGAGAGAGATTCATCAGACACAGACAGAGAAAGAGATTCAGACACAGACAGAGAGAGAGATTCATCAGACACAGAAAGAGAAAGAGATTCATCAGACAGAGACAGACAGAGAGATTCAGACACAGACAGAGAAAGAGATTCATCAGACACAGACAGAGAAAGAGATTCATCAGACACAGACAGAGAGATTCAGACAATGGAAAAGTGAGAGCGTTAATACAGGATGTATGGATCCAGAACACTGATTACACACCATCACATAATGTTACAGTTGGAAATCCATAGCTTGATTGATTATAAACAATAACAAAATATATGTTTTAAAAGTAGTAATGAAACATCAAGCTCATCATGGTTTACTGTTGTACTGTAGACAGTGAAGACTTGGGCCTGTGGGTAACAATACAACGTTATGGGATGTCGGTCACTTGAGGCAGGGTAGACTTTAGAGTGACTTTGCACACTATGTGCAAACAGAAGTGCTGATCTAGTCCAGACGGAGTAGACTAGGGAGAGAAGGATCTAGAAGGATCTAGTCCAGACGGAGAAGACTAGGGAGAGAAGGATCTAGTCCAGACGGAGTAGACTAGGGAGAGAAGGATCTAGTCCAGACGGAGTAGACTAGGGAGAGAAGGATCTAGTCCAGACGGAGTAGACTAGGGAGAGAAGGATCTAGTCCAGACGGAGTAGACTAGGGAGAGAAGGATCTAGTCCAGACGGAGAAGACTAGGGAGAGAAGGATCTAGTCCAGACGGAGAAGACTAGGGAGAGAAGGATCTAGTCCAGACGGAGAAGACTAGGGAGAGAAGGATCTAGTCCAGACGGAGTAGACTAGGGAGAGAAGGATCTAGTCCAGACGGAGTAGACTAGGGAGAGAAGGATCTAGTCCAGACGGAGTAGACTAGGGAGAGAAGGATCTAGTCCAGACGGAGTAGACTAGGGAGAGAAGGATCTAGTCCAGACGGAGTAGACTAGGGAGAGAAGGATCTAGTCCAGACGGAGTAGACTAGGGAGAGAAGGATCTAGTCCAGACGGAGTAGACTAGGGAGAGAAGGATCTAGTCCAGACGGAGTAGACTAGGGAGAGAAGGATCTAGTCCAGACGGAGTAGAGGACTAGGGAGAGAAGGATCTAGTCCAGACGGAGTAGACTAGGGAGAGAAGGATCTAGTCCAGACGGAGTAGACTAGGGAGAGAAGGATCTAGTCCAGACGGAGTAGACTAGGGAGAGAAGGATCTAGTCCAGACGGAAAGACTAGGAGAGAAGGATCTAGTCCAGACGGAAAAGACTAGGGAGAGAAGGATCTAGTCCAGACGGAGAAGACTAGGGAGAGAAGGATCTAGTCCAGACGGAAGACGGAGAAGGATCTAGTCAGACGAGAGATAGGGAGAAGGATCTAGTCCAGACGGGAAAGAAGGGCATAGGAGAGAAGGAGAGAGAGAGGAGGACAGGGAGAAGGATCTAGTCCAGACGGAAAGACTAGGGAGAATAAGAAGGAACTAGAAAGGATCTAGTCCAGACGGAGAAGACTAGGGAGAGAAGGATCTAGTCCGACGGGAGAGACTAGGGAGAGAGAGAAGGATCTAGTCCAGACGGAGAAGACTAGGAGGAAGGATCTAGTCCAGACGGAGAAGACTAGGGAGAGAAGGATCTAGTCCCAGACGGAGAAGACTAGGGAGAGAAGAAGGGATCTAGAAGAGGATCTAGTCCAGACGGAGAAGACTAGGGAGAGAAGGATCTAGTCCAGACGGAGAAGGACTAGGGAGAGAAGGATCTAGTCCAGACGGAGAAGACTAGGAGAGAAGAAGCGAGATCTAAGAAGGATCTAGTCAACGAGACAGGGGAGAAGGACATAGACGGAGAAGGAGAGAAGGATCTAGTCCAGACGGAGAAGGACTAGGGAGAGAAGGATCTAGAAGGATCTAGTCAACGGAGACTAGGGAGAGGACAGGAAGACTAGGGAGAGAAGGATCTAGTCCAGACGGAGAAGACTAGGGAGAGAAGGATCTAGTCCAGACGGAGAAGACTAGGGAGAGAAGGATCTAGTCCAGACGGAGTAGACTAGAGGAGAGAAGGAAGAAGGATCTAGTCCAGACGGAGAAGACTAGGAGAGAGAAGGATCTAGTTCCCAGACGGAGGGACTAGGGAGAGAAGGATCTAGTCCAGACGGAGAAGAACTAGGGAGATAAGGATCTAGAAGGATCTAGTCCCAGACGGAGAAGACTAGGGAGAGAAGGATCTAGTCCAGACGGAGAGACTAGGAGGAAGTGATCTAGAAGGATCTAGTCCAGACGGAGAAGACTAGGGAGAGAAGGATCTAGTCCAGACGGAGAGACTAGGGGGAGAGGATCTAGTCCAGACGGAGTAGACTAGGGAGAGAAGGATCTAGTCCAGACGGAGTAGACTAGGGAGAGAAGGATCTAGTCCAGACGGAGTAGACTAGGGAGAGAAGGATCTAGTCCAGACGGAGTAGACTAGGGAGAGAAGGATCTAGTCCAGACGGAGTAGACTAGGGAGAGAAGGATCTAGTCCAGACGGAGTAGACTAGGGAGGAAGGATCTAGTCCAGACGGAGAGACTAGGGAGAGAAGGATCTAGTCCAGACGGAAGAGAGACTAGTCGAGGAGAGACTAGGAAGGAAGTCTAGTCCAGACGGAGAAGACTAGGGAGAGAAGGATCTAGTCCAGACGGAGAAGACTAGGGAGAGAAGGATCTAGTCCAGAGGAGAAGACTAGGAGAGAGAAGGATCTAGTCCAGACGGAGAAGACTAGGGACGAGAAGGATCTAGTCCAGACGGAGAAGACTAGGGAGAGAAGGATCTAGTCCAGACGGAAAAGACTAGGGAGAGAAGGATCTAGTCCAGACGGGAGAAGACTAGGGAGAGAAGGATCTAGTCCAGACGGAGAAGGACTAGGGAGAGAAGGATCTAGAAGGATTAGTCCAGACGGAGAAGACTAGGGAGGAAGGATCAGAAGATTAGTCCAGACGGAGAAGACTAGGGAGAGAAGGATCCTAGTCCGAGGAGTAGGAGAAGACTAGGGAGAGAAGGATCTAGAAGGATCTAGTCAGAGGAGAAGACTAGGGAGAGAAGGATCTAGTCCAGACGGAGAAGATAGGGAGAAGGATCTAGTCCAGACGGAAGTAGACTAGGAGAGAAGGATCTAGTCCAGAGGAGTAGACTGGGAGAAGGATCTAGTCCAGACACAGAGAAGACTGGGAGAGAAGATCTAGAAGGATCTAGCCCAGACGGAGAAGACTAGGGAGAGAAGGATCTAGTCCAGACGGAGAGCTAGGAGAGAAGGATCTAGTCCAGACGGAGAAGACTAGGGAGGAAGATCTAGAAGGTCTAGTCCAGTCGGAAAGACTAGGAGAGAAGGATCTATCCAGACGGAAAGACTAGGGAGAAAGATCTACGGACGGAGTAGATGGGAGGGAAGGATCTAGAAGGATCTATCCAGACGGAAGGCTAGGAGAGAAGATCTAGAAGTCTGTCAGACGGAGTAGACTAGGGAGAGAAGGATTAGTCCAGCGGAAAGACTAGGAGAGAAGGATTAGAGTCTATCAGGGAGTAAGGAGAGAATCACCAGACAGAGTAGACTAGGGAGAGAAGGATCTAGAAGGACTGTGGACCAGAGCATGACAATAACCAACACAGACCATCCTCTCCTTAGGGTCTGTTCACACAATCAGTGACAACAAAATACTCCAACACAATGTAGCTACCATCTGCTTGTATGAAGACTAATGGCCGCCTGAACAGACCGTTACCCAGACCATCCCTTAACAAGGGCTGAGTTGGGGAGTAGGTTGAAGTTGCCCCTAGACGCTGATCCTGGGTAAGTTTTGCATTTCCCCTCTACTTATTAAGGTTAGGATTGGGAGAAGGGAAGCTGATCCTAGATCTATACCTAGGGAAAGTTCACCCCGGAGCGTGTTTTTGTGAGCAGCCAAAAACAGCTCTGTTCAGGGTGACCAGACATGAAGTATTTAACGTTGAGCTTAGGCATTAACTCCGAAGTTTAAGGTTAGAGGTAAGTTTAGGCATCAACTCCCAAAATCTTAAGGTTAGGTATTAACTCTGAATGGTTAAGGTAAGGGTTAAAACAAAAATCTCTAAAAAAAAAAAAAAAATTTCCACCACTGGATTCGAACATGCAACCTTTGGCACCGGAGGCAGACGCTTACAGAAATCTACTTGAAGATAACAGCGTTCACTGTTCCCCCCAAGTGCCCCTGATATCGTTATTGATTGACCAGTTTTTATTATCAGTGGTTCGGCTAGTTCCTGGAAAGCGATTAGAGTCACGGGGAGGTTCAAGTGCAGAGCAACTCACCATCGATGTCAGCAGGCAGTTTGGTCATCATCGATCCAGACTCACAGGCCTCGATATAGAACACCAACTGCGCGAGCGCACGGAAGGAAAAGGGCCAGTCAGCAGAATCTATCATTACATTTACGTCATTTAGCAGACGCTCTTATCCAGAGCGACTTACAGTTAAGTGAGTGCATACATTTTTCATACTGCCCCCCCTCGTGGGAATCGAACCCACAACCCCGGCGTTGCAAGCGCCATGCTCTACCAATTATAAATACCTTTGGTCTTAGACCAAAATTATTTACTACGACTGGAGAAAGTCTGAACATGTGATTGGCCCTCCACGACCACAAACAATAACAAGTTTAACTTCCGCACCTTTTGGTATTTCTTGTTCTCACGCATGTAGTTGATGGCAGCCATGAGGTCGGCAACATGAAGCTGTAGAAAGAAAAAAAAACATTTAATTCACAATAAAATAGGTTCATTTCTGTTTTTCCATCCAGTACGTCAACATGCATGTTCACTTCAAACCCAAAAGAGGCACTAGACCCCATGTGATCTAGCCACAAGTCAGTCACAAGATCCACACAAGGCCTTGGGCAATCTAGGGAGGAGTATCCTTGTCTTGTTCAGTGACTCAGTCTCTCCCACAAAACTTTCTGCTGAGTGAGAGAACATGAGGTTTATTCAACCAGGCTTAAATAAGAGATCTTTTTGATCATAACCCTAACCCATAAACTGTTCTCAATGATAGCTGCCATATATTTGAACTTTCTATGTCACAGGGCAGAACTAGATCATCCATCCATCCATCCATGGACAGACAAGGAAGGCTCTGTCCAAAATCAAATACATTTTTATTTGTCACATGCGCCGAATACAACAGGTGTAGACCTTACCGTGAAATGCTTACTTACAAACCCTTAACCAACAATGCAGTTCAAGAAATAGAGTTCAGAAAATATTTATTAAATAAACTAAATAAAAAAATAAAAAGTAACAATACAATAACGAGGCTATATACAGGAAGTACCGGTCCCGAGTCAATGTGCGGGGGTACAGGTTAGTCGAGGTAATTTGTACATCTAAGGAGCCTTTTTGTCCTAGACTTGGCGCTCCGGTACCGCTTGCCGTGCGGTAGCAGAGAGAACAGTCTGTGACTGAAGTCGTTGACAGATTGACACCGCCTAGTATCTAGGTGCTGGATGGCAGGAAGCTTGGCCCCAGTGATGCATTGGGCTATTCCCTATATAGTGCACTACTTTTGGCCAGAGGATAGGGTGCCATTTCTGCCAACTAGCAAGTGTTCAGAGACTAAAATCTGGCAGACGAACAGGAAGTGTAAAAGAGCTTACGTCGTCGTCAGGGAAGGCCAGCAGCCCAGGAGCTCCGTGATCAGTGAAGTACACAAACACGTGATCGTTGGGACCGCTGCCAACAGGAAGAGAAAAACAAGTTGATAAACCAGGTGTTTTTCTTTGAACTGAAAAGATATGACACAATCACATTTCTAAGTCAATACAAGCTGTGAGACTGAAAACTTCCCCCTAGAAAACAATGGAACATTCTGTCCAGAAACTTTGCAACAATATATTGTTGTTGTAACAATGATTTTCCCATGTCATTTTAGAGGTCTACCTTAACGTTTTGGAATAACATCATCCTACTGTGGCATTGCCATGATATATTCCAACCCCCCCCGCCCCGCCTCCATCTCATCACTTGCCTCTTCAGCACTTTCCCAGAACCCCCCTTGGTACTGTCAGAGTCACCCTTCAGCACGGCCAGGAAGTTGCTAGGGGTCACAGCCTGCAGGATACACAGGCAGAGAGCAGGCACTGAGGGCAGTATTCTGACTTGAGATGAATGTGCGCAACTTGAATAAAAGGGGTCTCAACTTCTTGAACATTTTAACAGTACTGTATAAAAAAAAAAAGCATTGATTGTTGTTGATAGTTTATGCAATGATATTAGCGCCGTTCACAGAAGGAAAAAAAAAGGCTTTTGATATGTTCCATCCACTCACCTCTCCAGTGTAGTCTTTGGGGACTCCCTTGTAAACGTCTGTCCCATTGGGTCTGTTGATCACCTCCCCTTGGGTGGGGTTCCTGAAAACAAACAGGTTAAATAACAGGAATCAGATACATGCCTGGAGGCAACACAGGGCAGACAATTTACTACATGACCTGCAGAACCCTACAGGACACAACTCTACACCCCCTTCCACTGTGCCCTTAAGCAAGGCCCTTCACCCCATAACTAGCTCTGGGGAGGTGTAATGTGGCCTAACCTGTGCTCGTGCGTGTTTGAGAACCGAGCAGAAGACACATTTTCTGATATATAACGTTGGACAAATAAAGTTGCAGTGTACAGTCTTGGCATTCGGAATGGCAAAACATGTATTCTATCACAATACACATTGGTAGTGTAATATTCAGTACTATAATGGTCTGTGACGGTAAAGCTTGCGTGACAGTTTGGAATGATTGTGAATAGCAACTACAAAAATTAGATCTTTATTAAACCCACAGTAGCACTTCCTCTACCCTCCAATGACAGGAATCACGCTATATTTTACTCATACAGTAGTCCAATTCAAACATACTGAAAACCACTTTTGCACAAGACATAAGCATCACATGATTCTGTTTGTTTTCGATTCAGAGTTAAATATTAACTGTACATCCCAGCAGACCCTAGATGCAGTTAATATTACAGGATCAATAAAGTGATAAAACAAAAAAAAAAACAGCATTTTTATACAGTAAAAATCCAAATATGAGAACATTTAGATTTTTACCTACATTAAGACACCTCCTGCATCAAAGTAGGTCAGTAAAATAGTAAATGTCTATCTAGTGATTACAGTAAGACAAGTACTTTCCTCAATTTCAAAAATGTGTTTCAGTCATTGACAGATGAACAGCTCCAATAACTGCTTATGAATTACCAATGACTGATGTTGCTACTAGCTACTGAACAATTAGAGAGAGAACACCATTTAAAAAAAAATTTTTTTTTTTATTAGATAATTGCCTTCCACCTTAAAACCCTAAACCTCATGTCTCCCATCTAGCCACCATAATTCCCAGTGAGAGAAGAGCAGCTAAATTAGAACCTTGTGACTGACAGTCAGTTGTGTCTCAAGGAGCTTCTAAACCGCCCGCCTTCCAAATGGTAAAACTATTCATTTAAAATTGTGTGCTACCTTTGACCAGGGTCCCACATGGCTCTGGTCAAAACTAGTGCACTATATAGGGAATAGGGTGCCTTTTGAGAAATACTCAAAACGGTTTAGTGGACAGCGTGTCCGAGAGCTTCCACTTCTAGAAGCACAGGGCCTGGCTGCTGTCCGCACGCCACCGCACTATGAGGAAATGGTTTAGGCCCATCGTCGTGCACCCAAAATAAGGATGATATATGCTCTGCTCTCGTCACAGGAATGCAAATATAGCAGAACAAACCCATAATAACAGACTGAAGCTGGCTAAATCTGAAGAGTTGATAGGGCTTGGTGTGTGTCTGTCGGCATTTATAAACCTGTAAAGGACAATGTGTAGTACTTCATTGCATAATCTACAGTTGATTACATAAAAAAAAAAAATATATATATATATATATATATATATATATATATAGTTCAACCCTAGGACATTGTTAAGGTGAAGAACTAAGCAGACAAGGTGGACAACACAAAATTGATGGATAGAATACTCACTCCTCATTGGTCGCCAGGTCATCATACATCATCACAACAATCTGCTCGTCAGGGATGCCATTCTTGTGGACGATCTGGTACGCGTGGCAAGCGTCGGCCTAGGGAGGGGACACAACGTATGTCGGGAAAAAAAAAAATCACCTCACTACTCACATTATTGAAATGAAATCGCGAGGGAGGAGTTAGAATGTATTATTGTTTACTGATGATGTCAATTTACAGTGCAGTAACCAGGAACACGTCAAGTCATTCAACAAATCAAGTAAAAGTCAACAAAATGATCTATCACAGCATCTATCCATTACTAACAGGACACATCACTGCTTGATACAATGTTAAAAAGCACTAGCTACATTAGGAATAGTGGCCAATGACAGCTATGTATGTATAGTCCCTCTTATCACCAATCAATAACAGGGAAAGTCGTCCTCCAAGTCTAGTCGGATAAAGTTAAATTGGTCAAATACACCAAATACTGATAAACTATAATATGTCCCGATTAGCACAATTTTCCCTATATTAGTGTAATACTTATGTCCTTATCAAAAGTCGTGTACTATAAAAGTGAATAGGCTGTCATTAGGGATGCAACCATTGGTAACAGATTACAACAAACACTCACTCAACTGATAAAGTCAAGTGTACATTTGTTAACGGATTTCAAAAATGTACTAGCCTAACTTCACTCTCTTACCTGGTGTCTGTAGTTGTACCAGCCATTGGAGCCAGCGACAATCACCACCCAGTTCTTCCCGTTTTCAGGCTGTTGTGTGGGGAAAGCATTAACCACCAGTCCCAGGCTGAGGCCCAGAAGAGCTAGGGTCGACGTAAACATCATCCTCTTCCGGTGTCTGTCCTGGGAAAAAGATACAACGGTATTATTATCATATCAAGTTACTAGCTAGATGTTTATGTTTTTGCCCATATGGTCTTGCACTGTCAACGATGATATTCACACTTTGCATAGTGCCCCAGCTGCTACAGCGACTGTTTACAGTTTAGCAAAGCGCCAAGGGATAACATGTTGTCGATCCTCTGGCTGCCAACGTTGGCTAGCTAGCTAGCTGTTAGTTACACCATCCATTTCCAAAATAACTACAGGGGAATCTACAGTAACAGTAGCCCATTAGAACACTGAAAATAACACTAATAAAGTTAACTACATTTCAGGTATCATCGAAAAGTAAAATCGTTTGATTACCTTTACCTTTTTTGTTCCTGTCACGAAGACTCAGATCCCGCATGAGGCTGTGACATTGGAGTGAGGATTTTATGCAAATCGCAGTGTTGGGAAAAAACAGTCGGGTTTTGCTGGACAGCCAATCAGATCGCCCCAAGGTGGGGAAGGCGGGGCATGATGACTAAATGAGTCTATGCTGGAAACACATGATACAAAGTCATGTGGTTTCTCGCTTTCTTTGATACAATGATTTATTAGTTTCTTTGATGATACGGGCTTTTTTCAGTGGTGGGAAAAGTACCCAATTGTCATACCTGAGTAAAAGTAAAGATTCCTTAATAGAAAATGACTCAAGGAAAAGTCACCCAGTAAAATACTACTTGAGTAAAAGTCTAAAAAGTATTTGGTTTTAAATATACTTAAGTATCAAAAGTAAAAGTAAAAATCATTTCAAAATTGCTTATATTAAGCAAACCAGACGTTTTGTTTTTGTTATGTAAGGATAGCCAGGGGCACACTCCAACATGCAGACATCATTTACAAACTAGGCAATTGTGTTTAGTAAGTCCGCAAGATCAGAGGCAGTAGGGAGGACCGGGGGATGTTCTCTTGACAAGTGCGTGAATTTGACCATTTTCGTGTCCTGCTAAGCATTCAACATGTAATGAGTACTTTTGTGTGTCAGGGGAAAATGTTTTTCATTAGGAATGTAGTGTAGTAAAAGTAAAAGTAATCAACAAATATCAATAGTAAAGTAAACTACAGATACCCCAAAAAACTACTTAAGTAGTACTTTAAAGTATTTTTACTTAAGTACTTTACACCACTGTCTTTTTTACAAACATAGTAACACATATTGTGTTAAATGTAGCTTTTCTGTATTAGTTTATACTACAGTAACAATTTGGACAAAGCTTGCTTTTCATTTAATGAGGAAGACTTATTATGCAATGTAAAAATGTGTAATAAGGATGCATTAAAAAACAGTACTGTTTACATGTATGTTTGGATAATTGCAACGGAGTTTTCATTTTAGTCACTAGTGTGTTACAAGTCACCCAAATATCACAGATGCGCATAATGTGTAGAAATATGATGCCAGGTGTAATTCTCGCTTGTCGCTCAATAACTTCCTATATTGGCACCGTCTTGTGACCCATTTCTAAACAATATGTAACTTTTATTTCAACTGCTCAGCAGAAATGGTAGAGTGAGACACCATGAACCACAGATCTTGTGACATCAAAAGTAAGCATTCAACCCACTCAGTTCAGCACCTGCCCCGTGCACTGTTAAGGCTGGTTTACAGTTGGTCTAGTTACCTACTGTTTGTGGACACTTGTCACATTCTAATGGTCTACAGACGTGTCGTTAGACGAAGTATAAACCAGCCTTTACTGAGGTGAAATGTTCCTGTGCTCTTGTGGGCTCTCGTGATACTGCAAATATCCATAGTCTAGTAGCTGTACAGCGTTCAGAACGTATAGGCTAAGAGTGGACACTGGTGCGGTAGGATGATACAGCGCTTTCAGTATGGAAGACTTTTACATTTACATCAGTTGTTACAAATGGCACGGGTTTTATTTGAGCATCCAACACTCAGTTTAGGACCTGCACTGCACTGTGGTGAAATGTTCCTGAAATGTACTTGTGGGCTCAATCATGTGATGTGGCTAACGACCTTTGACTAGTAGACATACAGCGCCTTCAGAAAGTATTCATACCACTTGACTTATTCCACAATTTGTTGTGTTACAGCCTGAATTCAAAATGGGTTCTTTCCTCTTAACCATCTACACACAATACCCCATAATGACGAAGTGAAGACATGTTTTAATACATTTGTACTAATTTATTGAAAATGAAATACATAAATATCTCATTTATGTAAGTATTCACAACCCTGTGTCAATACATGTTAGAAACACCTTTGGCAGCGATTACAGCTGTGAGTCTTTCTGGGTAAATCTCTAAGAGCTTTGCACACCTGGATTGTGCAACATTTGCCCATTATTCTTTGGAAAAATCTTCAAGCTCAGTCAAGTTGGTTGTTGATCATTGCGAGACAGCCATTTTCAAGTCTTGCCATAGATATTCAAGCCGATTTAAGTCAAAACTGTAACTAGGCATCTCAGAAACATTCAATGTCATTTTGCAACTCCAGTGTATATTTAGCCTTGTGTTTTAGGTTATTGTCCTGCTGAAAGGTGAATTTGTCTCCCAGTGCCTGTTGGAAAGCAGACATCCATTTATTTTTATCCTAAAGAAAACTCCCTTGCCGATGACAAGCATACCCATAACATGATGCAGCCACCACCATACTTGAAAATATGAAGTGGTACTCAGTGATGTGTTGGATTTGCCCCAAACACAACGCTTCTGATCTGTGACTGTCTGATCCTCAACACTGGGGCCCCACAAGGGTGCGTGCTCAGCCCCCTCCTGTGCTCCCTGTTCACCCATGACTGCGTGGCCAAGCACGCCTCCAACTCAATCATCAAGTTTGCAGACGACACAACTGTAGTAGGCTTGATTACCAACAATGACGAGACCGCCTACAGGGAGGAGGTGAGGGCTCTGGGAGTGTGGTGCCAGGAAAATAACCTCACTCAACGTCAACGTCAACAGAACAAAGGAGATGATCGTGGACTTCAGGAAACAGCAGAGGGTGCACCCCCCTATCCACATCGACAGGACCGCAGTGGAGAAGGTGGAAAGCTTCAAGTTCCTTGGCGTACACATCACTGACAAACTGAAATGGTCCACCCACGCAGACAGTGTGGTGAAGAAGGTGTAACAGAGCCTCTTCAACCTCAGGAGGCTGAAGAAATTTGACTTGGCACCTAAAACCCTCACAAACTTTTACAGATGCATCCTGTTTTTGCAGAGAGCATCCTGTCAAGCTGTATCACCGCCTGGTACTGCAACTGCACCGCCCGCAACCGCAGGGCTCTCCAGAGGGTGGTGTGGTCTGCCAAACGCATTACCGGGGGCAAACTACCCGCCCTCCAAGACACCTACAGCACCCAGGAAGGTCAAAAAGATCATCAAGGACATCAACCACCCGAGCCACTGCCTGTTCACCCCGCTATCATCCAGAAGGTGAGGTCAGTACAGGTGCATCAAAGCTGGGACCAAGAGAATGAAAAACAGCTTCTATCTCAAGGCCATCAGACTGTTAAATAGCCATCACTAGCACATTACATTTACATTTTAGTCATTTAGCAGACGCTCTTATCCAGAGCGACTTACAGTTAGTGAATGCACACATATATATATATATTTTTTCATACTGGCCCCCCGTGGGAAACAAACCCACATCCCTACCGGCCAAACCCTCCCCTACCTTGGACGACACTGGACCAATTGTGCGCCGCCCATGGGTCTCCCGGTCGCGGCCGGCTGCGACAGAGCCTGGACTCGAACCAGGATCTCTAGTGGCACAGCTAGCACTGTGATGCAGTGCCTTAGACCACTGCGCCACTCGGGAGGATAGAGGCTGCTGTTGCCAATTGAAATCACTGGCCACTTTAAGAAATTGAACACTAGTCACTTTAATAATGTTTACATATCTTGCACTACTCATCTCATATGTACAGTGAGGGAAAAAAAGTATTTGATCCCCTGCTGATTTTGTACGTTTGCCCACTGACAAAGACATGATCAGTCTATAATTTTAATGGTAGGTTTATTTGAACAGTGAGAGACAGAATAACAACACTAAAATCCAGAAAAACGCATGTCAAAAATGTTATAAATTGATTTGCATTTTAATGAGGGAAATAAGTATTTGACCCCTCTGCAAAACATGACTTAGTACTTGGTGGCAAAACCCTTGTTGGCAATCACAGAGGTCAGACGTTCCTTGTAGTTGGCCACCAGGTTTGCACACATCTCAGGAGGGATTTTGTCCCACTCCTCTTTGCAGATCTTCTCCAAGTCATTAAGGTTTCGAGCCTGACGTTTGGCAACTCGAACCTTCAGCTCCCTCCACAGATTTTCTATGGGATTAAGGTCTGGAGACTGGCTAGGCCACTCCAGGACCTTAATGTGCTTCTTCTTGAGCCACTCCTTTGTTGCCTTGGCCGTGTGTTTTTGGTCATTGTCATGCTGGAATGCCCATCCACGACCCATTTTCAATGCCCTGGCTGAGGGAAGGAGGTTCTCGCCCAAGATTTGACGGTACATGGCCCCGTCCATCGTCCCTTTGATGCGGTGAAGTTGTCCTGTCCCCTTAGCAGAAAAACACCCCCAAGGCATAATGTTTCCACCTCCGTGTTTGACGGTGGGGATGGTGTTCTTGGGGTCATAGGCAGCATTCCTTCTCCTCCAAATACGGCGAGTTGAGTTGATGCCAAAGAGCTCCATTTTGGTCTCATCTGACCACAACACTTTCACCCAGTTCTCCTCTGAATCATTCAGATGTTCATTGGCAAAGTTCAGACGGCCCTGTATATGTGGTTTCTTGAGCAGGAGGACCTTGCGGGCGCTGCAGGATTTCAGTTCTTCACGGCGTAGTGTGTTACCAATTGTTTTCTTGGTGACTATGGTCCCAGTTGCCTTGAGATCATTTACAAGATCCTCCTGTGTAGTTCTGGGCTGATTCCTCACCGTCCTCATGATCATTGCAACTCCACGAGGTGAGATCTTGCATGGAGCGCCAGGCCGAGGGAGATTGACAGTTCTTTTGTGTTTCTTCCATTTGCGAATAATTGCACCAACTAAATATAAAGAACAGCGCCGGAAGAAGATGGCTGCCGTTTTACAGCCCTCTAACCAATTGTACTATTATGTGTGTTTTTCCGCGTTATTTGTAATTTATTTTGTACATAATGTTTATGCCATCGTCTCTTATAACCAAAGAGAGCTTCTGGATATCAGGACAGCGATTACTCACCTCGCGTTGGACGAACACTTTTTTTTCAACGAGGCGTTCGCGAAGGATATTCTACAGACTCCAGACAAGGCCCAGATCCCCGTCATTCGCGTGAGGAAGAGACGGAGATACCGTGGACGTAGGTCGGGGTGCCTTGTAAAGATCCGACGGCGAACGAGTAAACTGCCTCTCCCATCAATCCTATTAGCCAACGTTCAAGCTTTGGATAATAAAA